ATTATATATATTTCATTTGCACAATTGTTGCATGACTGAGCAATTACCAAGTAGCATAGTGCCAAATAGCAAAAAATAACCCCTCCCTACTGGGCACTTATACCCCCTTCCTGCCCAGGCCAATTTTCAGCTTTCAGCGCTGTTGCACTTTGAATGACAATTGCGCGGTCATGCAACACTGTACCCATATGACATTTTTATCATTTTTTGAGACAAATAGAGATTTCTTTTGATGGTATTTAATTGTTGCTGGTGTTTTATTTTTTGCGCTATAAAAAAAAAAAAGAAAAAATTTGAAAAAAAAAGTTTTCTTTGTTTCTATTATAAAATTTTGCAAACAGGTAATTTTCTCTACTTCACTGATGTGTGTTGATGAGGCTGCACTGCACTGATATGATGATGGGCACTGATAGGCAGCACTGATGAGGCGGCACTGATATGCAACAATGATTGGCACTGATAGATGGCACTGACTGATGGGCACTGACTGACGGGTACTGATGGGGGCTGCTGGGAAGCATGGGTGGCACTGCTGGGCACAGGTGGATGGCACTACTAGGCACTGCTGGGCACAGCTGGTAGGCACTACTGATGATCAGTGCCGATCCATCCTCTGACAATTGCCAGTTATTGCCAGTACTTTCCTCATGCTGTGACAGTGTGAGGAAAGTGCAGCCAATAACCGGCAACTGCATTTCCCGGTGATCTGCTCTGTCATTGGACACAGCTGATCACGTGGTAAAAGGTCGCTGTGATTGGCTTTTTACCACATCACATGTGATCAGCTGTGTCCGTAGGATGCAGAGATTGCCGGGTGCACGCCCCTGAGGGCGTGTCTCTGTGAGGATGTCATATGTTGCCCTCCCAGGACTGGACAACCGTGCTGTAGCCATCATTCAGTTATAGTGCGATTGGCAAGTGGTTAAAGTGGATCTGCACTTCATCTGAACACCACAAACCAAAAATACTATTTAATTCATTGGTAATATTCAAAGCAAACTCCCCCATCCATCCATCCACCCACTCATCCATCCATCCATCCATCCATCCATCCGTGTCTTCAGGATTTATTTTGCTGAGAAATCATTTTGAAAAACATCCCCCCAGCATTTCTGTCAGTAGCCATCTTGAGTAAGGGCAGATGATTCCTGTAGCATTTACTTCCTGGAATCCATCAGCCCTTAGCTTAGGCATTGGCTGAGCTGATAACCCTCCCTCCCCTTCCGAAGACTGTTGGGGTGTATGACATCATTTTCCTAGGCAGGAAACCAGGAAGTGAGTAACAATATGTAAAAAAAACCTATTAAAAACAAGTAACTATGATCTACTTTCCTATCTATATACCGATGCTAGCAGTGTAAGGACTAGAAATAGTCAATGCTGATTGGGAGAGTGAAGTTCCACCTTAAGAGGTTAAAGTGATTTCCTATAATCGTCAGCTCCATCTAGTGGCCATAATGCTGTATCTTCCCTGAAATACCTCCTGATGTAAAAATTAGTGCAATACAATAATATGGCCACTAGATGGAGCCAATGATGATGTGAAATAAAACATGGCCAAAACCTCCCAGCTGGGTGAACACGGCTCACATTCCTTCAACTCATTGTTTTATGGAACAGACCTCCAAGTGTTTGTGAAATCTCCCACCACAAAATGTACTCAGCCAATCACAGTGCAGGACTCCATTTTTACCCTGTCATCAATGGCCAACCCGGTCCCACACTTCATCCATGAGAAGGAAATAAACCGCGCTAGGACTCCGTGTATGGACTACGACTCTTCCTCTCCGGGGCAAACATGGAACACATGACCCTACACATACGTGATCCCACTGCCGCCATCTTGGATTCTGGAAATGAGTTGTTTATATGATATGAAGAGCTTGATTGTCATCTTTTCATTGTAAGTCCATTTACCACATTAACCCCTCCCCCTCCAGAGGATTTACCCCCCCCTTTCCTGACCAGGCCATTTACCACATTAACCCCTCCAGAGGATTTAACCCCCCCCCCCCCTTCCTGACCAGGCCATTTACCACATTAACCCTCCCCCTCCAGAGGATTTACCCCCCCCCCCCCTTCCTGACCAGGTCATTTACCACACATTAACCCCTCCCCCCCAGAGGATTTTACCCCCCCCCTTCCTGACCATCCATTTACCACATTAACCCCTCCCCCTCTGAGGATTACCCCCCCTTTCTGACCAGGCCATTTACCATATTAACCCCTCCCCTCCAGAGGATTTACCCCCCCTTCCTGACCAGGCCATTTACCACATTAACCCCTCCCCCTTCTGAGGATTTACCCCCCCTCCTGACCAGGTCCATTTACCATATTAACCCCTCCCCCTCTCTGAGGATTTACCCCCCCCCTTCCTGACCAGGCCATTTACCACATTAACCCCTCCCCCTTCTGAGGATTTACCCCCCCCCCCCCTTCTGACCAGGCCATTTACCACATTAACCCCTCCCCCTCCAGAGGATTAATGACCCCCCTTCCTGACCAGGCCATTTACCACATTAACCCCTCCCCTCCAGACTTTTTACCCCCCCCTTCCTGACCAGGCCATTTTACCACATTAACCCCTCCCCTCAGAAGATTTACCCCCCCTTCCTGACCATTGGTTACCACATTAACCCCTCCATGGAGAGTGATTTACCCCCCCCTTCCTGACCAGGCCTTTTACCACAGTTAACCACTGCCCTCCAGAGGATTTACCCATCTTCCTTAGATGGGGGTTGGAGGAAAACCCCTCCCCCTCCAGAGAATTTACCCCCCCTTCTTGACCAGGCCATTTACCACATTAACCCCACCAAAGGATTTACCCCCCCCCCCCCTTCCTGACCAGGCCATTTACCACAATAACCCCTCCCCCTCCAGAGGATTTAGTCCCCCTTCATCTGACCAGGACATTTACCACATTAACCCCTCCCCCTCCAGAGGATTTACTTCCCCCTTCCTGACCAGGAGATCTGATTTACATTAACCCCGCTGGAGGATTTACCCCTCCCTTCCGGACCAGGCCATTTTCTTGCAATACGGCACTGCGTTACTTTCGCTGGCAGTTGCGCGGTCATGCAAAGCCACACCCAAATGAAATTTACGTCCTTTTTTGCCCACAATTGGATCTTTCTTTCGGTGGTATTTGATCACCTGTGCGTGTTTTATTTTTTGTGCTATAAACAAAAAAGGCCAACAATTTAAAAAAAAAAACAATATTTTGGACTTTTTGCTATTAAACATGTCCAATAAAAAAAACTAATTTCATCACCACTTCAGCCAAAATGTATTCTGCTCCGTGTCTTTGCTAAAAAATCCCAATCTGTGTAAATTAATTGTTATGTGAAAGTTATGCAAATAGTTTACAAATGGCGTTATAGATACTGGGAATTTTTTTTCATCCTAGTAATGGCGGCGATCAGCGACTTATAGCGGGACTGCAGCGGGCATTCTGACACTGGGGAGGAACTGACTTGGTGTCACTGACATCCCCCCTTCTTCCAGCACTTCATCCATGTCTCTGGGGGGCCTCTCATCTCCTGCTTCTTCCACCACTTCATCCATGTCTCTGGGGACCTCTGATCTCCTGGTTCTTCCACCACTTCATCCATGTCTCTGGGGACCTCTGATCTCCTGGTCTACTGCTTCTTCCACCATTTCATCCATGTCTCTGGGGGCCTCTGATCTCCTAGTCTACTGCTTCTTCCACCACTTCATCCATGTCTCTGGGGGCCTCTGATCTCCTGGTCCACTGGTTCTTCCACCACTTCATCCATGTCTCTGGGGGCCTCTGATCTCTGGTCTACTGGTCTTCCACCACTTCATCCATCTCTCCCTCTGATCTCCTGTCTACTCTTCTTCCACCTCTTCATACATGTGTCTGGGGACCTCTGATCTCCTGGTCTACTGCTTCTTCCACCACTTCATACATGTGTCTGGGGACCTCTGATCTCCTGCTTCTTCTTCATCACTTCATCTATGTGTCTGGGGACTTCTGACCTCCTGCTTCTTCCACCACTTCATCCATGTCTCTGGGGACCTCTAATCTCCTGGTCTACTGCTTCTTTCACCACTTCATCCATGTCTCTGGGAACCTATGCTTCTCCCCGTGTCCTGGTCTACTGCTTCTTCCACCACTTCATCCATGTCTCTGGGGGCCTCTGATCTCCTGGTCTACTGCTTCTTCCATGATGTGAGATCAGCCATGGTGTATATCTGAGGTGTATATCAGGGTGTGCTTTTTCCCCACATGAGAGCGGGGATGTCCCAGCTCTCATGTGAGGAAGATATTTTCCTGTCTAGAAGACATTCCCCACACTCAACAGGCACTAATACACCTCAAGGGTTGTGTGGGAACCTGATGTACTGGAAGACAGGACTTCAGTGAGGAACATTTCCCTCACTCAGGACAGGAAAGTGGCTTCTCCCCAGTGTGAAATCTCTGATGGCTCTGAAAAAGATTTCCCGCACTCAGGACAGGAATACAGATTTTCACCTGCATGAGACCTCAGATGTTTGATTTTTCTACAAAACATCTGGGAAAAACCCGCACTCAGGACAGGAATACGGCTTCTCACCCTGTGTGAGATCTCTGATGTCTAGAAAAATTGGACTTTGCTGAAAAACATTTCCCACACTCAGGACAGGAATATGGCTTCTCGCCCGTGTGAAACTATGATGTGTGTAAAGATGGGACTTCTGTGAAAAACATTTCCTGCACTCAGGACAGGAATACGCTTCTCCCCCGTGTGAGATCTCTGATGTCTGTAAAGATGGGACTTCACTGAAAAACATTTTTCGCACACTCAGGACAGGAATATGGCTTCTCTCCCCGTGTGAGATCTTTCATGCACATTAAAGCCAGATTTAGAACAGAACCTCTTCCCGCACTCAGTACAGGAGAAGCTCTTCCCTGTTGGAAGGCCGGCCCGGTCCCGCACAGTCTGAGGTTCCTCAGGATACGAGGAATCCGATGGTCCATCTACACTGGGTGGTGCCGGATGGACATTGGGGAGCCGGGTTTTCTCCTGGACTATACTGTGTGATGTCCTCATCTTCTACTTTCCAGTCTGGAGACAAAGTGAGACAATCCTCGGAGGTTTTCCTCATCTCCCGGCCATGGACTAAAATACAAAGACAAAGAGGATTACTAGACAGGAGCTGATTGGTTCCCCCAAACCAGGACTCCGCCCACATCAGGCAGCTTGGTCTCTGAGGAGCTTACAATTCCACCCTCAAGGGAACTAGGAAATGGCTCCTCTGATCTCCTACCAGGTCATTTCTTTATTCATGGACCTTAGTCAGAGAGTGAGGAAACAACCAGAACTGTCTTTTATAGGAGGGACAGTGATGAGGGGATTATAGGACGAGGGTCCCCACCCCCTCTATCACTCATCGCCATCTTCCCAACACAAGAAGTACTGCACTTCCTTATTTAGTCCATGATTTAGTCATGAAGAACAGCGGGGCTGAGCCCCACCAGAGGTCAGAGAGTGAGGATGGGGGGAGAAAACAACCAAGATGAAGACTGGACTGATCCTGAAGACCACCATCATTGGGGTATTGACTCCTCCCTCATTATCACTTTCTGTTTAAGGGTCCAAAGTTGGAGGATGTTATCACATTATTATCACCATGTAAAAGTCTGTGCTCCAATCACATCATCCGATATAAAATGTCCAGCTGGGAGGAAATGGGGGAACAAAAGAGAATCCATATATGTGTATATATAGCAGGGGGGGGAGAGGGGGGGGAGAGCAGAATAGTCAGGACTATGGAATGTACAACATAGAGTATATAGTATAGTGCAGGGGTCAGGAGTATGTACAACATAGAGTATATAGTGCAGGGGTCAGGAGTATGTAATGTAGCAGTGCAGGGGTCAGGAGTATGTAATGTACAACATAGAGTATATAGTGCAGGGGTCAGGAGTATGTAATGTACAACATAGAGTATATAGTGCAGGGGTCAGGAGTATGTAATGTACAACATAGAGTATATAGTGCAGGGGTCAGGAGTATGTAATGTACAACATAGAGTATATAGTGCAGGGGTCAGGAGTATGTAATGTACAACATAGTATATAGTGCAGGGGTCAGTATAGTAATGTACAACAGTGGAGTATAGTAGCTTAATACAACATAGAGTATATAGTGCAGGGGTCAGGAGTATGTAATGTACAACATAGAGTATATAGTAGTGCAGGGGTCAGGAGTATGTAATGTACAACATAGAGTATATAGTGCAGGGGTCAGGAGTATGTAATGTACAACATAGTCCCATATGAGACTGCACTCAGGGTCAGGGTATGTAATGTACAACAGACATATATAGTGCAGGGCACAGCCAGCAGATCAACAGTAGAAATGTAACCCTGGGAGAGTATATAGTGCAGCCCCAGGATAAGGTATGTAAAGTACCCAGATATACAGGGGTCCCAGGTCACATCAACACCTATTGTGAACATTTACATTTTGCTGCCAGCTGTACCCCAGAACCTCCATATAAATCCAGTCTAGAGACATAAATTGTGTCTGCAGCACAGAGAAGGAAGATTATCCGAGAGAAATCCAGGAATACAGGACGGGGAACACAGCTCAGGAAAGTGACCAGGGGATTACAGGCTGATATCACCCAGTCCCCGCCCTACTCTGGACCAATCAGTGAGCAGTATGGGTGGAGGAATGGATTTAGTGTTCATGACCCACCTGTGCTGATCTCTGAGGAGTGTCCTCCTCTATAAATGTCCCCGTTATTCCATCCTCCTCCATAGACTGCTGATCATCCCTCACATACGCCTCTTCTTCTTCTGCTTTCACCTCAAATTCTATATCGATTGGATCTCCACTCTAAATCAAGGAAAAAGAGAGAAAAAATCATCTGTAAAATAGAGATAATGTTATTGTGACATCAGAACAATCCACACATTGTCTCCATATATTTTATTTATTAACGCTGGAGATTTTGCTCCAAAATCAGACTCCCTTCCAGCTAGAAACCAATCAGTCTCTCAGCACTTGTTCAATGAAGCTTTCCATCCCAATGAATCCCCCTCCTGATTGGACGGGGAACATGCTCTGTGATTTTGGTCTCCAGGGAGTGGGCTGAAACCCCCATGAGTCTTTTTTTTTATAACCTCTACCCTGTGACCAACCTTGTAATGATGATGGGATGGTGTGACCCTGTGTGGAATCCCGGGAATACAGAGGACGGGGACATCTCTCTGGTGGGTTCCTGGTATTAGGTGGCTCCATCATATCCTTGTGTCCTTCTGAAAACTCCTCCATCACTCCATACTCCTCATCCTCCTCTTTATACTCTTCTTTAACATCAATATTATCATCCCCGAGGATTCCACTCTGAAAGATATAATAAAACATTCATTGTAACAAACATGCTGTGTATAAATCACAACTACCAATAATTGTCATCATCTACCCACCAACCTTGTGATGGTGAGGGATGGTGTGACCTTCCTGTGTGGAATCCCGGGAATACAGAGGACGGGGACATCTCTCTGGTGGGTTCCTGTAGCTGGATGACTCCACCATGGTGTCCTGGTACAGATCTTTGTGTTGCTTTAGAAAGTCTCTGACTCCTCCATCCCCCATCCTCATCATCCTCCTCTTTTATCTCTTCTTTAACCTCAACTTTAGGATCTCTCAGGTTTCCACTCTGAATATATAAAAAAAATGACATCAATGGTAACAATGCAGATAATGTACAGATCCTAATGATACTACTATCAGTGATTGTTCCTCATCTACCTGATGATGGTGAGGGATGGTGTGACCTTCCTGTGTGGAATCCCGGGAATACAGAGGACGGGGACATCTCTCTGGTGGGTTCCCATGACTGGATCCATCTGTAGGAAACACACACACTGACTGAATCCATTGTTTCTATGTGTTTATCAGATGATGGGGGATCTAGGTGGATCCTCCGTACTGCTCTCTCCTTTACAATAAAGTCTCCTCTTACCCGGTGATGTGAGGGGCGGCTGATTGTCCATCATGACGTCCTTGTAGAGATCCTTGTGTCCTTCTAAATACTCCCACTCCTCCATGGAGAAATAGACAGTGACACCCTGACACCTTATAGGAACCTGACACACACAATGATACAGTCACCATCCAGACACATCCCTTGTCTGTTACTGGAGAATGTCCCAGAATTCCCGGCACCCTCACCGCTCACCTCTCCTGTCAGCAGCTCCATCATCTTCTTGGTGACTTCTAGAATCTTCTGCATGTTGTGTCTCTCAGGGTTTAGGGAGTCACATGGAGGCACTGTGATGGTCATATGATCACCTGACTTCAGAAGAGGAAATCTCTGTATTGAGGAACCAATAGGAATATCATGTTAGACTCCCAGAATCCTCCTCACCTCTCCGGTCAGGTCTGTGTTTTATTAATAGAGATAAGAGTGATGTCATGTGACCTCCCAGAATCCTCCTCACCTCTCCGGTCAGGTCTGTGTTTTATTAATAGAGATGAGAGTGATGTCATGTGACCTCCCAGAATCCTCCTCACCTCTCCGGTCAGGTCTGTGTTTTATTAATAGAGATGAGAGTGATGTCATGTGACCTCCCAGAATCCTCCTCACCTCTCGGTCAGGTCTGTGTTTTATTAATAGAGATAAGAGTGATGTCATGTGACCTCTCCCAGAATCCTCCTCACCTCTCGGTCAGTCTGTGTTTTATTAATAGAGATAAGAGTGATGTCATGTGACCTCCCAGAATCCTCCTCACCTCTGGTGCCATCATGTGATCTATCCCAGAATCCTCTCCTTGTAGACGGATAACAGGGTGAGGTTGGTATCTTCTCAGTCATGTGATGGTCCTCCTCCATCCTCATTGGTGCCATCATGTGATCTATACAGGTCTTGTAGACGGATAACTTTGGGAAATGAAAGTAAGAATGATTTGGATGGTATTGGTCACACAATAATAGGATGTGGTGGATGTGAGGGGGGAATAGGAGGGTTGATGGACATTTAAAGTGTAACTAAAGACAAACCACTTGTTTCATTTTGGATAGAGTAAGGGAGGGTTATAACCTCTGTCAGGTGTTTTTGCCATCTGTGTCCCATTGGGGAGATTTCCCTTCACTTCCTGTCTCATACCAAAACAAGAAGTGAGAGGAAATCCCCCCAAAGTGAGGGAATTCTGGGTGTCACCAGAACTAGTTTCCCCATTGGACGATTTACCCTCTATTAGTGTTCTGATGTCAACCCAAAATTTGGGACTTTCTTTCACTCTTGGTTATAATGGTCACCGGGACAAATGGGGGCACAAACCGCAATAAAAACTGACAGATGCTCTAATTCCTCTCTACTCCAAACCTAAAAAAAAAAAGTTTTACCTTTAGTTATACCTTAAGAACTACCGCCCCCCACGGGAACACGTTTACTTTAGACTGTTTAGTGTTTAGACCCCAGAACTCTCTTGGTCTGCGGATCAGAAATCCCCTTTTTCTCTGTTGGGTTTGTTTTGTCTCTGAACTGGTTTTGATGAGTTTTTAGATCTGCAGACAAGGAATGATAAATGGTTACATAGTCGGTAAGGTTGACTAAAGACACCGTCCCTCCAGTTCAGCCGCAGTGTGTGTATCTGCGTGTCTATGGCACCATCCTCTTCCATATCCCTTTACATTGTGTTCCCTAAGAAAAACATCTAAAAGGTTTGTGAATGTATCTACACTCCCCGCTGACACACCAACTGTGGAAGGGAGTTCCACATCCTTACCGCTCTAACAGTAAAGACCTAACACACAGTTTAACCACTTGACCTCCAGAAGGTATTACCTCTTTATGACCAGGTTATTTTTTGCTGTTCAGCACTGCACTACTTTAACGGCAAATTTGCTCGGTCATGCAACACTGAACCCAAATTAAATTTATATAATTTTTTCACACAAATGAAGCTTTCTTTTGGTGGTATTTGATCACCACTGGGGGGTTTTTTATGTATGTAACACACTGCATTGTTACTAATTGCAGATTGTTAAATGGCCACAAGATGGCTGTGCTCTGCAGTTCAGCTGACACAGGAAATTGTACAGCAAATGTGAGAATGCTGGGACTTGTATGCTGCAAGCAGGATTTCTTCATTCAGTTCAGCCGACATAGAACTACAGATCCCAAGTGAGTGAGTAAAGGGGCTGGAGCATATAAAAGGAGAAAAGCACAGGAGGAGAGGAGAAGAGAGGCAGGGTGCGTGATTACCTCCGGCCTGTTCTACACAAAGTTCCACCAGCCAAGTCTCACACTAAAGGGACATACCGTATTTTTTCGCTCCATAACCCCCAAAATAGGGGGAAAATGTCAGTGCGTCTTATGGAGCGAATATAAAGCGGCCGGTCCGGTATTTCTGCCGCCACCATGTCAGAATACCGGGCCGGCCACTCAGCTGTTCTCTCCTGCAGGGCCTTACCTGTTCCTCGCTCCAGCACTGCACAGTCTTCCTGCGCTGGCTTCTGTGACAGCTGGGTGCCCACTGCGCATGCGCTACGCTTCGTGAATGATCTGGTGTCTTCTGGGAGACGACAGGTCCCAGAAGGCACCGGGCCATTCACAAAGTGCAGCGCTTCTCGCGCATGTGCAGTGGGCACCCGGCTGTCACAGAAGCCGGCCCGGGAAGAAGGAAGGAAGGACAACTCCGCGGAAGTGGGAGCGGGGTACCTGTCAAATTCAGGTACCCGCTCCCCCTCCCTCCCCAAAGGTCAGCAGTCTCTGGTCATCCCCTGCACTGTCTGCAGTCTGGTCATCCCCTGCACTGTCTGCAGTCTCTGGTCATCCCCTGCACTGTCTGCAGTCTCTGGTCATCCCCTGTACTGTCTGCAGTCTCTGGTCATCCCCTGTACTGTCTACAGTCTCTGGTCATCCCCTGCACTGTGTCCGCAGTCTCTGGTCATCCCCTGCACTGTGTCCGCAGTCTCTGGTCATCCCCTGCACTGTGTCCGCAGTCTCTGGTCATCCCCTGCACTGTGTCCGCAGTCTCTGGTCATCCCCTGCACTGTGTCCGCAGTCTCTGGTCATCCCCTGCACTGTGTCCGCAGTCTCTGGTCATCCCCTGCACTGTGTCCGCAGTCTCTGGTCATCCCCTGCACTGTGTCCGCAGTCTCTGGTCATCTCCTGCACTGTGTCCGCAGTCTCTGGTCATCTCCCTGCACTGTGTCCGCAGTCTCTGGTCATCTCCTGCACTGTGTCCGCAGTCTCTGGTCATCTCCTGCACTGTGTCCGCAGTCTCTGGTCATCTCCTGCACTGTGTCCGCAGTCTCTGGTCATCTCCTGCACTGTGTCCGCAGTCTCTGGTCATCTCCTGCACTGTGTCCGCAGTCTCTGGTCATCTCCTGCACTGTGTCCGCAGTCTCTGGTCATCTCCTGCACTGTGTCCGCAGTCTCTGGTCATCTCCTGTACTGTGTCCGCAGTCTCTGGTCATCTCCTGTACTGTGTCCGCAGTCTCTGGTCATCTCCTGTACTGTCTGCAGTCTCTGGTCATCTCCTGCACTGTGTCCGCAGTCTCTGGTCATCTCCTATACTATGTCTGCAGTCTCTGGTCATCTCCTGTACTATGTCCGCAGTCTCTGGTCATCTCCTGTACTGTGTCCGCAGTCTCTGGTCATCCCCTGTACTGTGTATGCAGTCCATTGGTTCAGAATATTTTTTTTTTCTTCTTTTTCCCCTCTAAAACCTAGGTGCGTCTTATGGTCAGGTGCGTCTTATGGAGCGAAAAATACGGTACTTCTTCTGAAGTCTGCTCCCACACTTCTCAGTTTGAATAACCTCCATACCCAAGTAAACTCCTAGCTTGTTGCCTTTATTGAAGGGGAACTCTGCTTGCTGTGTCCTCATCACCAGGGAAGGGACATTTTCTCATGAAGAAAAGGGATGACCCCTCCACTGTGCACCAACGTAAAGAGCTCCACCAAAGCCAGCAGAAGAGTCTTTCCTGCTGTCAGGGCTCCAGGTATGACCAGAGGTGTGTGGACTGACACAGGGAAACGCAGGCTTCAGGAGTGATGTATAAGAATATAATTTATTAGGAACTACACGAGTATACAACGCACAGTACAACAAAACCAAACCTCCAAACAATGTCAGTATGTTCAGGAACACAGACAGGCTGGAGAGGTAGAATGGTAAGGCAGGCCGGGTCAGGAACAATCGGGCAGACAAGGTACAAACGGAGCAGGCAGGAGAAAGGTCAGGAATAGCCGAGGTCAGTGCAGGTGGAGTTTGATCAGTGTCAGAGTCAAGCAGGGGAAACAGGCAGGCAGACGACAGGACCAGGTACAGGGGCTCAGAGGAAACAAACACCAATGCACTGACTGCAGGCCTGGCCATTCTTAAATACACCTCCTGCAATCAGCCTCAGGTGATGGCTTGATTGCAGGAGTGAGATTCTGGCTTCTGAGAGCACCCGCTGGCCAGCACTGGTACTGCAGCCCACAAGGCAGGTGAGCCCCAGCACCACCTGTGCTGAGCCTATTCCTGACACCTGCATTGGGTGATAGGGTTTATATGGGACTTTCTGCTTGTCCAAACAAGAGAGTTAAGCACTGGTTCTGTTTACTGGGAGCCCACAAGGGAGCGAGCCTAACATTCCTAATCTCCCCTTTTCTGCTTGTTTGGGGAAAGTTTCTGGGTAGGAGAGATCCAATTAAACTCTGAGTCCTGGAGGACAAATTGGTCTATTTAACGTAGTATTGTTTATGTTGTTTTTCTCCTGAACGGTTCATAGTTTCTCCCATCAGTCGATTCTTCATGTGTATATTGCTGCTAATCTGACTCTAATACAGACTGATTTACTATTCATTCAATGCTATGTGATTATTGTGTGTTATAGCCGGGGGGGAACACCTGACCAAGGTATTACAATGATGTCAGCAGGGGTTGTGCACCAGCCAGGGCTCAGAAGTGAACAGGGAACCCAAAATACTCAGCGACTCTTGAGGGGGGGTAGTGCTACATATAAATGAAAAAAGACCAAAATTAAAAAAAAAAACAATATTTTCTACTTTCGGTTATTAAAAATATCTGACCAAATCTCATTTCTTCGTAAATTTAGGCCAAAATGTATTCCACTACATGTCTTTGGAAAACAATCCCCAGTAAGTTGTATATTAATTGTTATGTGTGAAAGTTATAGAGTCTACAAACTACGGGATATATACTAGAATCTACGCAGCTTTTAAGCAGCTCTGATTTTCCTACTGCTAAAATGCCAGGACAGTACAAACCTCCAAAATTACCTCTTTTTTGGAAAGTAGACAGTCTGAGGTATTTGCTGGGAGGCATGTTGAATCCTTGGAAGATGTTAATTTTGGCCACAAGTATTTGGGATATGACAAAAATTTTTTTGTTTCTTTACACAAAGTTGTCACTTTAACCATTAGCCGCCCGGCCAATGGCCGTTTGGCGGCTTCAGATGTGTATCTGCATTCCGGGTGCACGCCATTTGGCGTGCTCCCGCACATGCGCCATTTGCGCTAGTGCAGAGCGGCGCAGCAGTGCGATCTGTCATCGGCCGTGCACCTCGGACACGGCCGATGACAGATCCGAGTACCGGCTCCCGTTGCTGGTACCATGTGACCTGCTGTGACCAATCACAGCAGGTCACATGACAGTTGTATACAATGGATGGCTTCATTCATGATGCCATCCATTGTATACTAGTGCCTAGCTGTGAATGGTCACAGCTAATCACATGCACGTCATGTGATTAGCTGTGACCAAATCACAGCTAAGCACAAAAAAAAAAAAAAAAAAAAAAGCTGAATGAATCGATTTCATTCAGGTAAATGCTTGCTTATAGCAAAGTAATTCTTTGCTATAAGCAAATTGTGTAAAAAAAAAAAAAAATACTGATCACTTCCCCAAAGTAGTACAATGTTACTATGGTAACATTGTACTACTTTGGTCATAGTAAAATATGAAAAAAAATCTTAAAAAAAATAAAAAAAAATGTAATAAAAAATTAAATATAATAAAAAAATTTAAAAAAAAAAAAAAAAAATATATATATATTTTTTTTTTTTCATACAGTCACCAGTCAGTGTCCCTGTTCACCGCCATGCCAGTTATATGATGACGCTGTACTGCACTGGTGACAGTATGTAAAAAAAAAAATAGTGAAAATAATTTTTTTTCATTTTTTCATTTTCCAAAAAATTATGACAAAAAAATACAACTGCAAAAAACTCGCCATGCCTCTTATGAAGTACGTCGGACTGTCTACTCTGCAAAAAGGGGTCATTTGGGGATATCTGTACTATTCTGACATTCTTGGACCTCAAGAAATTAGATTGGCTGTCAGTACTTCAGGATTGATCAATTTTCAGATCTATACCATAGTTTGTGAACTCTATAACTTTCCTAAAAACTAAAAAATACATCCTAATTTGGGTTATTTTCACCAAAGACATGTAGCAGAATACATCTCGGCCTAAATTTATGAAGAACAATTATTTATTTGTAAACTTTTATAACAGAAACAAAGAAAAATGTGTTTTTTTTTTTCAAAATTTTTGGTCTTTTTTTTGTTAATTTAGCAAAAAATAAAAACCCCAGCGGTGATTAAATACCACCAAAAGAAAGCTCTAGTTGTGTGAAGAAAATGACAAAATTTTAGTTTGGGTACAGTGTTGTATGACCGCGCAATTGTCATTCAAAGTGTGAGAGCGCTGAAACCTGAAAACTGGCCTGGGCAGGAAGGGGTAAAATTGCACGGTATTAAATGGTTAAAGATAAATTTCTCACACATGCCATTAGTAGTTGTGGAATTACACCCCATAACAGGTACAGCCTATCCACATACAGGGCCCAAAATCCAATCAGCACCTACAGGCTTTCAAAGGGTGTTAATTAAGCATTGGATGTCCTGACTACCTATCACAGTTTTGGAGACTCTAAAATCCCCTGATAGTACAAAACACCCCTGTCACGGTATAGGGGCGGCCAATTATCAATTCCTGCTTACTGATCCGGAGTGTCACGATATGAGTTCTCTGCCAGCCCAGTTATTAATCCCCAGGTATTAATTCCTTGTTCCTAATCCCTCCTGGCCATAGGAAGAGCCTCCTCCAATTAGTATTCACTTCTTTGTGCCAAAGGCCCCTAGCTGTAATTAACTCGCCCCCTCCACAAAAGGTCCCAACCATAGGAAGAGCTTCCTCCAATTAGTATTCACTCCTGTGTGCCAAAGGCCCCTAGCTGTAATTAACTCGACCCTCCACAAAAGGTCCCAAATTCAATTAGTGTATACACCACTAATTAGTGCCTTACTTTTGTAGTAATGTATTTCCCCCACTGTTACACTGTTTTACAGCTGCAAATCCAATTATCCTGTTTCAGTATCCAGCCTGTCCAACCGGTCTTTTCTGTTTACAGCTGCAAACTAAATTACGGTAGTTCCATTCCTGTCCATTCTCTTCATTGTCACCTGCTAATGACCCCCCTCCGCCTCTCGTCCTGCTCAGGGGGTTTAAGAGGCCAGTGCTGGTCTCTCTTGTTGTTCCATTCTGCATACAGTCACTAAGGGATCCCAGCTGCGGCGGGACGATAGTGGCCAGACTCTGCCTAAGCCCCATTGGAGCAGGGGGACCCCAGAAGCTACATCAGCCCTGCCTGCAACGCCATCAGCTCTGCCTGAAACTGCCACACACCAGCTCTGCCTGAGACCACCGCATCAGCTTTGCCTGAGGCTACCACATCAGCTTTGCATGAGTGTATGCTTCTCCGGTGTGATCTGTTAATGAACTGCTTTAAAGACTTTAACTTTGCCCACCGGGGCTGGATTACAAGTGTTTTGAACTCTCTCTCCCTGCACTACTCCCATTGAGTGACTGTTGTCTGTTCCAATAAAGCTTTAAGTGTTTGCCGTCTGCCTTGTGTGTTCTGACCCGTTTACCCTCCGTCACAACCCCCAAATGACCCCTTTTTGGAAAGT